TTTTTTGTATTTTTAGTAGAGACAGGGTTTCACCATGTTAGCCAGGATGGTCTCCATCTCCTGATCTCGATCTCGATCTCGTGATACCCCCGCCGCAGCCTCCCAAACTGCTGGGATTACAGGTGTGAGCCACGGCGCCCGGCCAAAGCATCCCTGTTTTTGTTTTTTTTTTTAACTTGTTTCTGCCTTGTGACAGAGCTTCATGAAGGCAGGAACTGCAATTTAGTCACTGATGGCTCTCAGCATGCGGCACAGCACATGGCATAAACCAGATAATCCTTAAATGTGTCTGACTGATCCAGTAAACACACAGGGCTGCTCCTCTGGGCGCCCTTCTGCCTGGGCACTGTCACTGCACAGGACTCTCAGAGACTAAGCAACCTTGGAGGCACTCAAGGGCAGACTCACCTCCTTTTGGGTGCCATGTGGAACGTGCCATGGCCCTGACTCAGCCTGATCTCTTTCCACCAGACCAGGCTTGGGGGTGGAGCCCAGGTGTCACCTCTGCCGTTGATCTGGGTCATTAAGATGCAGCATCTGCAAAGGCCAATGATACTAATGGTCCCAGCCTAGGAAATAAGCTGGCCTGGGGGAGTGGAGAACAGGGAAGACAAGAGGCAGTGTGGCCCCAGTGGGCAGAATGGAAGGCAATGGGCCACAGGGACAGCCAGGGATTCAGGTTGGACATGAGGAGGTGCTCCCTGCAGAGTGCACAATTAAGCAGCACTGGAGTCAGAAACCCAGGCAGAGGCAGAGCACACAGTCCCTATCTCCAAGGATATTTTAAAATAGGATGAATCCAACTGTTCTGTCCAATTTAACCATTCGCTTGACTGGAGTCAGAAGAAAGATCAGGTGACCTCCAGGGTCCCTTCTGAGCCAAGGACTCCAGGCTCCCTGGAATCATGTGGATCCAGCCAGGTCCAGGGGGCAAGTCTGGTTTGGCTGTGGTCTGGCATCTATTCAGAAGCCACTGAAGATACAGGAGAGGAGCCCGGTGAGACTTCCTGGCCCTGGGCGTCCACGCCGCACCTGCCAAGCCTGGGTTCCTCTGTACAAGTTCAGCTTCTCTCCTCTGTCTGCTCCCAGGTCTCTGCTTCTGTTCCCTAAACACCAGGTACAACATGCCCAGAAAACACCTGTCATGCTTGTTTCCCAGGGCAGCCCTTCACACTCACAGACTGCCCCGTAAGCACCCGATTCACCCTTACAGCCGCCCTTAGAATGCCTGTTGGGTGCCCCAGAGACCAGGACACACAACTTTCAACTTTCATTTCCCCTCACTGCCAGGCTCCGGTCACCTGGGGACCTAGCGATGGGTGGGCTGGACAGACAGCAGGGCTGCACGCCCTGGGACCTGACCCCTCCACCCCCAGGCCTGCCTTCCCCCACACACACCTGCCTACTGACCCGGAAAGGTTGAGCAAACACCCAGGAAACCAAGTGCTGGGCCCGATTCCCAGAGTCACCAACTTCACAAAAGCAGAACAGCAATAATAGGAAGGAGAAGAAGGTGGGAGGAGAAGAGAGGTCACTGCAAAGCACGTGTGAGAAAATGTTAATGACTGGTGAATCTGGGCGATGGGAGGGTGGCAGTTAATGGGACTATTCTTGCAACTTTTCTGTAATTCCGAAGTTTGCTTTTTGCAAGCTGAAAAGTTAATGAATAAGCAGAGAACATGCAGGCTTCCCTGGGCTACAGGTGGCCTGTGGGTCCTCCCTTTCATACTCCCCTGGAGCTCACAGTATCACAGCCAGCCCCTCCGATACCAAGCAGGAGCTGAGAGGCTGGGAGCGCAGGGTGCCCTGCAGAGACTCACTAGTTCTTACTGGTCACCTTCCCTCATGGCCTTCTGATTAGTGAAGGGCCCTGAAAACACCTCACTGAGGGGTCATCTCCCTCCAGGACTCCAGAGGCTTTCAGGGAGCCTTCCGGCCCCCAGGTTAATGCCAGAGAGCTGGAGTGGCCTGGGAAGGGAGGAGGTGGAGGGGCCACGGAGAAGGGAGGTGGTGGGCGCCTGCACCCACCCACACTCGCTCAGCCCCTTCACTCCAGCAAGGTCTCACCAAGCAGCCAGGTGTTCGGATACAATGTTGGGATCCACGAAGAAAGTCATAAGCAAATCTCATCACATAAGTACATTGATTTTTCCCAACTAACTGACAAGATTACAGGAATCTTTGTTTCTTTACTTTCATTCATCTTGATAACTTCCTCCCTGCTCTCACTAAGAGGCTGTCATCTCTGAAACTAGAGAGAACGCCCTCCTCCATCCCCGTGTCTGGGAAGGAGGCCTGAGTGGCATGAGGGTGTCACTGCAGATGCTCCCAGGGACCAGGAGCCCAAAGTGCTTTGGGGCCCTTTCCTCTGAGAGTCTCAGCTATCCCAGCAGATAGCGGGATGTGGCCCCCCCACCACAGATGAAACTTTGGGCTATTTGAGGACAACCTGGCTGCTGTGACACGCTGGGTCCCCTGATTCTGTGATATAAATAATCATCTTACATTTGTTCAGACCAAATTAGACATTGATTGGGAGAGGCTTAAATTGACTCCACTTTCAGAGGGGCTGGGAGAGGTGGGGAAGCAACAGTGAGTCGGGGGAGGTAGGTGGGGAAAGGGGAGGAGATGAAGAGAAAGGACAGGGAAGAAGAAACTGCACCAAAATCAGAGGAGGCACAAAGAGGGTGGGGCGGGACTTGCTCTTTAGCTCTTGGCCTGGATCCTTGGCCAACTGCCTGGATGCAGTGGTTTGAGTGTCTGTGTTTTTGGCAGGGACCCCTCAGAGGGTTTTTCAATGCAGGAGGGGAAGAAAGACCGGCTGGGCGAGATGTGAGCTGGGGGCTCTGTCGGCTGCGGAGGCACCTCCCCAGAAGGCCTGGCTTGGGCTCCTGAAGACCCAGCCCCCACAGTGGGCCCCTTCCTCTTCCTTCTCCGGCTCCCTCACCATGAGAGGAGAGGACAGGGAAGGCAGGGAACCTTGGCGCCTGGAGCCAGCAGCAGTTCTGCTGATAACTTGGGGCCAAGCAGGTGGGGCTTCCACCCTCCATGATGCTCCTGGTGAGGGGCCCTGGAAGGAAAGGAGAGGAGAGAGTTGCGTCTTCTCCAGGAAGCCCTGAGGAAGACGCATGCTTGGCCCAATCACCTGCGCCCAAACCCTCCAGCCCCAGCCCGGCACCCAGAGCTGTGAGCAGCCGGGGATCCCTGCCCTCCCAGCCCAGCCAGCTCCCCGGCTGGCCTCCCGCTGCATCCACCACCTGGCCCCCTCGCCTCAGCAGGGTGGAAGGAACTGCAGGGCTGGACACACTTCCCCAGCTGTGCCTGGAACTGAATTCATTTGCCGCAGGCAGGGGCCGGCTTGACTCTTAAGTCTGGTCATTAAATTAAAGTTAGAAATTGAAACGACACATGAGTTAACACATAATAGCTTACTGGGAAGCTCCTTAAGCTCTAAGGGAGCTATGGTTTGCTCTGTTGTTAAACTACAATTGTTATTATTAATTGTGTTCTTAATAATTACCCAATATTAATTTGCAATAACAACTGCGTGGTGCCAGCCTAGGTGTTCTGTGTGATGCCGAGAAACAGCCGTCTCTCGGGGCTGGATGGGCCAGACGGAGGCAAGAAGCTAATGGAGGGAAGGGCAGGAGACGGCATCTGTGGTGCCAGGAAAGACTCCAGGAATAAGATAAAGGGGAGGCAAAGCTGGGGGCGAAGACACTGCAGTTCCAGGGAGCAGAGGCTGCGGGGCGGCGCTTCTGGAGGCAACGAGCCGCTGCAGCTCAGGAAAGACAAACTCCCCGAAAGACACGTCACCGGCAATGGGAGGAGCCTGAAGAGAAGTTCCGTGGTTTCAAACACAGAATGTTGGCCAGAACAGGATTAAACCAGGGGAAACGAACTCTTTCCCTGGAGATCCGTAAGGAAGCCCCCAACTTCACATGCATATGCACATGCACACGCTCACACATGCACACGCCCTCACATGCACACGCCCACGCATGCACACGCCCTCACATGCACATGCCCACACATACACACATGTACATGGACACACACATGTATACATGCACATGGACACACACGCACACACTCACATGCACACATGCACATGAACACATTCACACATGCACATGACACACATGCACACACACATGGACACACTCACATACGCGGACACACATGCACACGCTTACACATGGACACTCACATGGACACACATGCACACATGCACATGCTTACACATACACACGCTCACACATGCACACACACGGACACACATATACACACATGCACATGCTCACATATGCACACGCTCACACATACACACATGTACATGGACACACACATGTATACATGCACATGGACACATGCACACACTCACATGCACACATGCACATGAACACATTCACACATGCACATGACACACATGCGGACACACATGCGGACACACATGCACACGCTTACACATGGACACACTCACATGGACACACATGCACACATGCACATGCTTACACATGCACACACTCACACATGCACACACACGGACACACATATACACACATGCACATGCTCACACATGCACGCACAGACACATATGCACACTCACACATGCACACATGCACACACATGCACACACGGACACACATGCACACACTCACGCATGCACACACAGAGACACACATGCACACACACATGCGCACATGCACATGCTTACATATGCACATGCTCACACATGCACACACACGGACACATATGCACACACTCACACATACCCACACACATGCACATACACATGCACACATGCACATGGACACAATGCCCACACTCACACATGCACATACTCACGAATGCACACGTGCACATGGACACATTCACACATGCACACACATGCACATGCACACACATGCACACTCGCACATGCACTTTCATATGCACACCTGCACACACACATGCACACACCTACATGTGTACACACATACACCCCTGTGAGGTTCCAGTGCTTCCTGCACACAGCAGGCTGCTGGGTCACTGGTCCAACAGAGGGGTCACTGCCCCAGAACCAGATCCAAAGCAAGTCAGAGGCCTCTTGTCCTCCCTTATTGTATGGTACCGATTGGCCGACAAAAGAGCCTTAAGACTCACATCCCCTCACCAATCCAGTGCTGATGGAGCCACTGCCTCAGAGGAGCAAAGCCAGGCTGCAAGGGCAGAGGCCAGGCAGGAAGAGCAAGTGTCATCTGGGGAAACTGGGAGGACTTTCTGGGGTGAGGAGGCACCATGCAGAACCCCATGGAGGCAGGAGGCAGAACAGGACAGGAGAGCTGAGAGCTGGTCGAGAGGAAAGAGGGGCAGCCAGGGCCACTCGCTCATGCCACTCCTCCTGATGGGTATTAGTATTCCACTGTTTGGATGGAAGATGGAACCCCTACGGCATACCTCTCCTACAGCTTCTCGCCTTGTCAGTGTGTGTGTGTGCATGCTCGTGCACACGTATGAGCATGCATGTAGGGGTGTGCTCCATTTGACCCTGGCCTTTGAGGTCAAGGACTTGGCCTCCTTCTTTTCCAAAGCGGCCCATGATCCAGTTCAGAGCAGGACAGTCAGCTGTCTGCCCACTGACAGTTGGATTTTCCATCATCTAGCCAGCAGATGGGCTGACCAGCTGAGTAATCCACTCACCCCCTCCAGAATAACCCACTTGTTGAGTGCCACTGACTGCCTGGTGACCACCAAAGCCCGCCACCTTCACAACTGCCTGGGTGGGAGCAAAACCAACTCCTTCTGAGCCCTTGAAGAACCCCCTCTGTGAAGATTCCCCTCGAGGGACCCCATAGGACCCCCACAACTTGCCGCCCACCCCAGGCTTCATTTTCCCATGGGATGGATGCATCCAGCTCCCAGAGGGTTGGCCTTGCCACTCAAGGCCCACATCAGCCCCTGGCCTTTGTTGCAGGTGGGCCAAGCGGGGCCAGATCATCAAGGAGGCATCTGGAGAGGTGTACAGGACCACAGTGGACTACACGTACTTCTCAGAGCCTGTCTCCTGCGAGGTGACCAACGCCCTGGGCAGCACCAACCTCAGCCGCACGGTTGACGTCTACTGTGAGTGCAGTGGTTCAGGTTTCCCCGGGCGAGCAGGCATCCGGTGGCTTCTGCTTAGAGCTGGAGAAACCAGGGCTTGATTCATTGCACACAACACAAGCTTCATGCGTCATGACGTAGGATGCTTTGCACTCAACAAAAACCTGCTTTGTGCAGTGTTTCATGTTTATTTCGATCCCCGTAATGACACCATGAGTCAGGGTCTTGGCTGGGGCTGCTATGACACGTTACCGTAGACTCGGTGACTTAAATGGCTGAAATCAGGGTGCCATCATGGTGGGTTCTGGTGGGGACTCTCTTCCTGGCTTGCAGGCAGCTGCCTTCTTGCTGTGGCATCCCATGGCAGAGAAAGAGAAAAGCAAGCTCTTGGGGCCTTTATTCCAAGGGCATTAATCTCATCATGAGGGCTCCACTCTCATGATCTAATCCCCCTGCTTCCCGCAAAGCTCCTCCTCCTACTACCATCCCACAGGGGCGAGGATTTCAACTTTCTCCCACAGGGAGAAAGACCCCAGACAGAGGAGGGGGAACCCAGGCACCCTCATGTGCCTGTCCCACCCTGAGCACATTCAGCCATTGCAGTCTTGCCCTGTCCTAAACCTTATAAGAAAAGTAGGTGGTCACCAACGTGCTGGGAGGGAAGGCACTAGAAGGGCTTTTCAAGCGGGCACAGTGGTACACACCTATAGTCTCAGCTACTCAGGAGGCTGAGGTGGGAGGATCACATGAGCTCAATTGCGGGGTTGACAGGGGACACAAGCATGCAGGCCATCATGGGTAGATATTATTATTCCCATCATCTGAATGAGGAGATGGAGGTCTGAGGTCACACAGTAAGTGGCCAAATGAGAACTGAACCTGGGCAATGACCAAATCCATTGCCCATCCACACATTCCACTGCCTTCCACTGAGGGGACTCATGGATATACTCTCTTTTTCTCTCTTTTTCTTTCTTTTTCTTTCTTTTTCTTTCTTTTTTTGAAACAGAGTCTCACTCTGCTGCCAGGCTGGAGTGCAGTGGCAAGATCTCTGCTCACTGCAACCTCTGACTCCCTGGTTCAAGAGATTCTCCCGCCTCAGCCTCCCGAGTAGCTGGGACTACAGGCACTTCCACCACACCTAGATAATTTTTGTATTTTTAGTAGAGACGGTTTCGCCATGTTGGCCAGGATGGTCTTATTTTTAGCAGAGACAGCTTCACCATGTTGGCCAGGATGGTCTAGATCTCCTGACCTGACCTTGTGATCTACCCACCTCGGCCTCTCAAAGTGCTGGGGTTACAGGCGTGAGCCACCGCGCCTGGCCCATCCCCTCCTTTCCACTGGAGGCTGGCAGGGACCCACAGCAAGGTAGCGCATTGCCATGGACTAACTGGCTGGATGTGTTCAAAACAAGCATCATTAGCTCATACACTGCCCCTTACAGTTTTAAACTCGCTTTTACAAACTTTAAAAAATCTGACCCTTCCCCTCTCCCCTGAAGCCTCTGAAGAAAGTGCTGTTACTCCCTTTTTACATCAGGGGACAAATCCCAGTCTCCTGGCACCAGGCTTCAGGCTCTGTCTGCTCCCTGGAAGGAGCACTCTGAGATCTGCCTGGCCAAGGCCGGACCCTGGGCCTGGAATCCCCCCACAGCCCCCACTGTGTAGACCAAGCTGGGTCTACAGGAAGCTCCAGACATGCTGGACAAGGCGGAGAGGAGCCTGCATTCAGCTCTTTAATGCTTAGGAGAGGGGTGGGAAGTGGAACCCAGGGCTGCTCTGCTGCAGTGGGGCTGACACAGAGACCGGAACAGCTGGAATAGGAGGGTGGCCTGAGAGCACTGGGTGGGAAACGCTGGGGGAGGAGGAGTGGATCACAAGAGCCCTGCCTCCATCACCCTGCATCTCAGAGCCCCCATCCCACCCCAGAGGTGCACCGGTCACTCGATTCCAGGTCATGAAAGCTGAGGCTGGAGGAGGTGGGAGCCAGCTTGAAGGCAGAGGCATGAAGATCCCAAGGGCCCAGACCTCCAGGACAGGAGGAGGGCCCTTGCCTGCCGCTGGGATGGAAGGGCTTCCCCAACTTTCTGGCACCATTTGGGATCCAAACAGAGGGAAGGGGATGAGAGCCCTGGGGGTAAATCCAGGCAGAACCTGGTCCCCAGCACCTTCTTCCCAGGCCCCACGCTGCCGACCACCTCCGTGGGCCCAAGAGAGGCAAAGCCTCAGGGACAGGGGTCTGCTCCCTACTTCCTGAGTCCCAGTCCCAGACCCCAGACCCCGCCCAGGCAGAGGACTAAAATGGAAGTGACTGAGGTGGCACAAGTACCCTGCTGCCTCCCTTCCCCCAGTCAAGGTCTGGGGGGGAAAGGAGGCAGCAGCAAGGAGGATCCCAGAGCTCCCCAGCCACCCAAACCTGTCTCCTTCTTCCCCGCATTGCAGTTGGGCCCCGGATGACCACAGAACCGCAATCCTTGCTCGTGGATCTGGGCTCTGATGCCGTCTTCAGCTGCGCCTGGACCGGTAACCCATCCCTGACCATCGTCTGGATGAAGCGGGGCTCTGGAGTGGTAAGTCTGCAGCTCAGACTTCGGGCAGCCCTGGCAGGGGGTGGGGGACAGTGGGGCAAAAAGGAACTGCTGCTCAGGCCTCTCTCACTATTAGACTGGGGGAGTCAGCCTCCAGTGTAAGCCACAGGGAGAAAGACCCCAGACAGAGGAGGGGGAACCCAGGCACCCTCATGTGCCTGTCCCACCCTGAGCACATTCAGCCATTGCAGTCTTGCCCTGTCCTAAACCTTATAAGAAAAGTTGGTGGTCACCAACGTGCTGGGAGGGAAGGCGCTAGAAAGGCTTTTCAAGCGGGCACAGTGGTACACACCTGTAGTCCCAGGTACTCAGGAGGCTGAGGTGGGAGGATCACATGAGCTCAAGAGTTTAAGTCCAGCCTGGACAACAGAGCAAGACCTTAAAAAAGAAAAGAGAGAGAGAGAGAGAGAGAGAGAAAAGAAAGAAATTTTGTAACTTCCCCCAAATAAAGCCACCCTTTAGCCTTGAACCTGGGCTTCACTTTCTTGTGTTCCTTTTTTTTTTTTTTTTTTTTTTTTTTTTTGAGGTGGAGTTTTGCTCTTGCTGCCCAGACTGGAGTGCAATGGGGTGATCTTGGCTCACCGCAACCTCCGCCTCCCGAGTTCAAGAGATTCTCCTGCCTCAGTCTCCCAAGTGGCTGGGACTACAGGCGCGGGCGACCATGCCCAGCTAATTTTGTATTTTTAGTAGAGACAGGGTTTCTCCATGTTGGTCACACTGGTCTCAAACTCCCAACCTCAAGTGATCCGCCCACCTCGGCCTCCCAAAGTGCTGGGATTACAGGTGTGAGCCACCGCGCCTGGCCTTTGTGTTCCTCTTTTAAGACTTACATATTCTTCAGTGCATGAGAGGCTGCCAGGTGTCCTCACATAAGAAGAAGCGGGCAGAGCCTCGGGTGGGGAAGCAGGGGGACCAGAAGGAAACCAACCTTTGTGTGGCCTGTTACGTAGCAGATACTGCACTATCCTGCCAGGCCCCACACATAGACAGAACGTGAGCATCTGAGAAGATAAGCAACTGACCAGACAGACACAGGTGTTCACTGCTGGAGCCAGGATTGGAACACAGACCAAGCTCATGCCAGAGCCTGTTTTCATCACTCCAAGCTATATCCCAAAGGGATCCTGAAAATGACTCTGAAAACAGGTCCAGGGGCTCTCAAAGAAGTTCAGCTGTAGGATCAGGTCACCCATGGCTAGCCTGGCAGAGGAGAAGCCACCACAGGTACAGGGAGGTTCCTGTAGGAGGAAGCCTGGAAGTCCCCAGGCAGGCGTCCCCCTCCTCCGGCACATGTACCCCCGCGTGCCCCCAGTCCACAGGGCTGCACCTGGGATGCAACATCCTCAGCCACCCGGGGCGGCCTCTCTGCCGGCAGAGTCTCCTCTGTACAGCCCACAGGCATTGTCTGTGCCAGGACATTTTTGGCCTCTTTCCTCCCCACCTTGCTTCCCACTGAGATGCCGGAGACTGCGTCAGTTACCCCAGGCCAGCCTCTCAGCTGCCCTGTTCCCAGAGACGGAGCGCGCCCCTCCGCCTGCTCTTGGTGTCTGAGCCTGCCAATTCTCCTAGGTCCTGAGCAATGAGAAGACCCTGACCCTCAAATCCGTGCGCCAGGAGGACGCGGGCAAGTACGTGTGCCGGGCTGTGGTGCCCCGTGTGGGAGCCGGGGAGAGAGAGGTGACCCTCACTGTCAATGGTAAGACCCTCACTGGGGTGAGCCAGGCCTGAGGGAGGGAAGAAGGACCTCAGGCATCTTGGCATTGCCCCAAAGGAGCTGTCACTGGCTCTGGGCCTTGCTGTCACCTCCAAGTGTGGGTAGATAGCAATTAGGTCCACCTCCTGGATTCCCTGTCAGACCCAGGCCAAGGGAGGAAGGGCCTGGATAGTTTTCTGGTCACCTCTCTTTTTGTTTGTTACCTTCGAAGGGGTCTCAGCCCTAAGACTGGTGGGTGATGAATTTTATCCTGGCCAGGGAAAAAAGCATCAGAGGTCACTAGGTGGCCAATGTATTTCATCCACTCACCATGGCCTTGGCCCATGAGAATTTTTTTTTTTTTTTTTTTTTTTTTTTTGAGATGGAGTCTCGCTCTGTGTCCAGACTGGAATGCAGTGGCACGATCTCAGCTCACTGCAACCTCACCCTCCTGAGTAGCTGGGACTACAGGCATGTGCCACTATGCCCAGCTAATTTTTGTATTTTTAGTAGAGACAGGGTTTCACCACCGTTGGCCAGGCTGGTCTCCAACTCCTAACCTCAAGTGAGCCGCCTGCCTCGCCGTCCCAAAGTGCTGGGATTATAGGCAGGAGCCACCTCTCCTGGCCCCATGGGAATTTAAGAGAGCATCTCTGCACCTCCTGACCAGCCTCTTTCCGTTACGTGTGAGCCACCCAGCCAGGGAGCCCTGTCACCATCTCCACGAGGCCACGTGTTCAGGGGCCCCCTCGAGGGCAGGAAGCATGTCTTATTATATATAATACAAATAATTACAGCAGGGGAGTCTTTTCACGGTGGGAATTAGTAGATGAATGACTATTACATGAAATGTGTAGGGACAAGGGTGTCAGACCAGGCCTGGATGATGGGGTGTAGACAGTCATGGAGAAGCTGGGACCTGGCTCAGGCCAGACCCAAGAAGGCTGTGGCACCAGGACGCAAATGCGGACATCCCTGCCCCATCAGGTGCTTTGGCCACAGGCAAAAAGCAAAGCTGCCAGTTCGACTCCTCTGCCATTTCCGAAGGCTCCCCCCAAACCTCTGTCATGCCCGCCGCCCTTTGGGAGGCCCCTGTTCCCACCATAGCCTGCCTCAGATGAAAACCCCAAAGCTCTGGGCCCCTGCAGGAACTGAGCCACCAACGTTTGCAGGGCATCTGGGTCCTGGCCCCAGAGCAGGGCCTTAGGGAGGGGCCAGCTGAGGTCTCCAAATGAGCTCAGTGGGCTTCAGCGTCCTCTCTACCCAGAAAGTCACCTGCTGGTGGCCTCATCGATTCCCTTCGCTAGAAAACCAAAATCAGCTTGGTGTCTCCTCAGCCCTCTCTGCTGTCCCCATTCACTAGCTCCCCCTACATCCCCCGGCATTTCCATTCCTCTCCCCCCACCCCAGAGCCGTGGCAGCCCCAGAGGGAGGCTGAGTCTACCCAGACCCCAGCACGTTCCCAGCCACCTGTCCTGGCAGAGCCCTGACTCAGAGCCCTCCTGCCTTTCCTGCGTGTCCCCAGGACGCCACCAATAAATTGGCACTGCAGGGCTAAAAATAACAGCATCTGATCGCGCCTCCGTATATCCATGGCAACACAGGCTGCAGCCTTTTCCTTTCAGCGCAGGTGTCTGACACTCGGCTCAGAGCTCCAGGCCCCAGTGAAACCAGCGGCCTCCACAGAGCCCGCACCAGCCAGGGCACTCGGAAGTCAGGCTGTCCATGCCTGCAGCCGGCTCTGCTCTGCTGGCCCCATGACCAACCAGCCCAGAACCCTCACGCCCATTCAAACACTCCAGGGCCCCCAAGCCTGGAGCATTAAATGAGCATTGGTGTTTCTGGGAAAAAGCAGGTGGATAAAGGAGGAGCTGACATCTGCCGTCACTTTAGATGTTCAGGCATTTCCAAGGGAGATATAAAGAGATTTGAGGACAGAATGCCCCCTGGGGAAAACAGGCCTGGAGGGACATTTCTCTTGGATGGGGAGGACACTGAAACCCAGTTCCTGGTGCTGACCAAGGTTGAATCTGCACTCTCCAGGTCTCTTTCTCTCCCCTCCTCTGCCTCCACCCCTGCCAGCACAAGCTCCCTGAGGCTTCCAGGCAGAGAAAAGCTGGAGGGATTGGAGGGCAGCAAAGAAGCTGCTCATTTATTTCTGCTGGACTAGGGTGGCCTCACACACCTGGAGGCAGGGGGATGAGTTCAGTGGCCCTGGAGAGGAGCCCGCCAGACCCTCCTGGGAGTGAACTGTCTGTCCCTGTTTCTGCAGAGCAGGCAGAGGGAGGGTGAAACCCAGTGGATGGGACCTGGGCATGGGCTGGAGGGAGCTGGTGCTATGAAAGCATTCAAATGAGATCAGGTTTTTGACAACTGCTGGCCAGCGCAGCAATCCTTTGGGAAAGAAATTGGCACAGACCTCAACCGATTTGGCTCAAATCAGGTATCTGCAGGAAGGGGAGAGAAATCTTACTAACCCTCACCCTGTTTCCCTTTATCCTGGTTTTTGTTTTCTTTTAAGAAGCAGATGCATTTGATGATGCCTTTTAGAATCCTGAAAACCCCTCAGGGAATTCCTAGCTCCTGGGAAGCACAAGGAAAAGGTTGTGTGTGTGTGTGTGTGTGTGTGTGTGTGTGTGTGTTGGGTTTTTGTTGGTTTTTTTTTTTTTTTTTTTTTTTTTTTTGTTTGTTTTTGAGACAGAGTCTTGCTCTGTCGCCCAGGCTGGAGTGTAGTGGGGCGGTCTTGACTCACTGCAACTTCTGCCTCCCAGGTTCAAGCAATTCTCCTGCCTCAGCCTCCCAAGTAGCTGGGACTACAGACTCCTGCCACCACGTCCGACTAATTTTTGTATTTTTAGTACAGACGGAGTTTCACCATATTGGCCAGGCTGGTCTCGAACTCCTGACCTTGTGATCCACCCGCCTCAGCCTCCCAAAGTGCTGGGATTATAGGCGTGAGCCACCGCGCCTGACCAGAAGAGGTTTTATCGTATCGTCACCTTTTAGTCCAGCAGCAAAACAAAGCACCATCCGGTCCCGAAAACATCAATCTCCTTATCTCTTTGGGTCCTAGACCTGTTGGAGCTGAAGGATTTGTAGGAAGGAGGGCAGCGCTCAGCCCATTCTTAAAGCCACGGAGGGTTCCCCATGCCCACCTCACGCTGCCCCAAGCCCTTTGCCTTCTCAGACTCAACAGAAGTCACCGGAGTGTCTCCAGTACCTTTTCTCCCTTGGCTGGGAGCTACTCATAGAAATGCAAATCTGCTTTAATTAAGGTGGCTAATAAACAGCAATTATGTTTGCAGCAATTTTTGTTTTGTTCCCAGCATAATTCTGCCTGTTCTCCAGATGCGTTGCTCCCAGCTCTCTTTCCTCTGGTATCTACCACCTAAGTCCCAACTGTTACCCCAGCGATTGAAAAGGGAGCATGACCGTTTCCGTCCCTACACCCATCCTTCAAACACCCAGCCCAGCCAGGAAGCCAGCAGAGCGAAGCTAAACTAGCGGCTCCTTTTGGCTTTCACGGCCAGGCAGGCGTCACACGGGAAAGACGTGGGTTAGGTAACAGGAGGAACTGGACAGGAGGTGCTGGGGAACAGGCTCCCCTCCACCAGGCAGACTCTCTTGGCTGTGCAATGTGGTGAATGAGACAGGTGCTCTCAGAACCTGACACCCATGAACATGTGCCACACTCTGTGATATAACATTGGGGTCCGTTTGGGAGCCATGGCCTCACAGCGTATGCATTCCACCCGTCCAGGGTGATTCCCGCCCTTAGGAGGGGGACATCAACCATTTCTTCCTGTTGGCCCGGCTGGCCGAGGACCTCCCGTTTGTTAGGCAAGGGCGCCCTCTACTGGATGTCTAAGGAATGGCTTGCAGGGGTGCAGCTGGCTGAGGCGGGGGGAGTCTTCCTTCATCCAGACACCTTCCCACCTCCTTTCCAGGCTTGCTACCTCCTCCCTAAAGCTTTCCCCGTCCGCCAGATAGAATTATTCTCTCTCCTCTGAAGTCGGTTAGCACTTTATCTGCACCGCTCCTGTAGTACCAAGACTCACCACCTTTTATTACAGTTATTTATATCTTCTGGGGATTCTGACTTAGAAGCATTCACTCATGATCCCTTGAGAGGTTTATGACTGAATGCCTAATTTATCTCTGAGTCCCTACCTTGCACTTTACCTTGCACATACAGGCCTTCTGCAAATGTTTGCTGAATGCTTGGATTAATGAATACACTTCTGAACTCACCCAAGAGGGCGCCAGCAGGGACGTGCCCTTCCCAGGTGCCTAATGGGACGCTGTCTCTCAACAGGACCCCCCATCATCTCCAGCACCCAGACCCAGCACGCCCTCCACGGCGAGAAGGGCCAGATCAAGTGCTTCATCCGGAGCACACCACCGCCGGACCGCATCGTGAGTGCTCCAGGGGCGGGCGGGGGCCGGGCCAGCAGCCAGACGGTCACTTTTGCCAATAGCTGGGTGGCCAGCCAGGCGGTGGCAATGCACACCTCCGAGGCTCCTTTTCCGTGCTGAGGAAAATTATACCTGCCTTGGCTGTCTTGGAAAAGCGTCGCGAAGACAAAATTGCAGGCCTTTCTCAGAATAGGCAGTGCTCTCCCAGGATTCATCGGCCGTTCTGCTGAGCTCTGACATGAACGGTGCTGACCAAATTCCGCATCCTAAGGGCAGAGGGGCACACGAGGGTAGTGGAGAGAAAAGACAAATGACTTCTTCCCTATCCTGGGCTCCAGGCCAGTATTTAGCAAAATCTTAGAGTGCAGTTAATAGTTAGCAACTCCTTTCTGTGCCTCCCTGAGTCCTCCTTGCCAGGTCTCCACGGCCTTTACTGTCCATGGTAGCCTGCCCTGTTACCTATCAATCATCCCCTCTAAAGTGACCATTCCAGTCTCCCTCTCTTCTTCAAAGAACTTATCCTTGCAATGCAGCTAAGGCAACTGAGGAGTCCACCCTCAGCACCTCCTACCAGGTATTTGCTTGCCTTTTTTTTTTTTTTTTTTTTTTGATAGAGTCTCGCTCTGTCACCCAGGCTAGAATGCAGTGGCACAATCTCGGCTCACTGCAACCTCCACCTCCTGGATTCAAGCAATTCTCGTGCCTCAGCCTTCTGAGTAGCTGGGATTACAGGCATCTGCCACCATGCCCGGCTAATTTTTGTATTTTCAGTAGAGACGGGGTCTTACCATGTTGGTCAGCCTGGTCTCAAACTCCTGGGCTCAATTGATCCTCCTACCCCAGCCTCCCAAAGTGCTGGGGTTACAGGCATGAGCCACTGTGCCCAGCCAGTATTTGCATTTTTTTAAAGGGAGGGTCTTGCTGAGTACGGAGCCTCATGTCTGTAATCCCAGCACTTTGGAAGGCTGAGGTGGGAAGATTGAGCCCAGGAGTTTGAGATGAGCCTGGGCAACAGAGTGAGACCCTGTCTCTACAACAAAGTTTAAGGTGAGGGCAGAGTCTTTTTTTTCCTTTCTTTCTTTCTTTTTGAGACAGAGTCTTGCTCTATCACCCAGGCTGGGTGCAATGGTGCAATCTTGGCTCACTGCGACCTCTGCCTCCTGGGTTCAAGCAATTCTCCTGCCTCGACCTCCAGTAACTGGGATTACAGGCACCTACCACCACACCTGGCTAGTTTTTTTGTATTTTTAGTGATCCAGGGTCAGAGCCTTGTACCCAAATCCATCTGAAACTGGAGGGATCTCAGGCATGAAAACAAAGAAAAGTGAGCATTTTATAGCACTACTGGGGGAAAACTATTATTTGTAGTAATTCCCAGTGTCTGGCAAAATCCTGCTAGAAGACTGCCCAGGGGTGGAGTGGGCAGGGCAGCTGTACCTTTTCACAAGACGGCAGTGCAGGGAGGGTGGGGTTGGCCCAGACATGGAGCAACTGAGGTCACTCCTAATCCGTGCATGCGGGGGCTGACACCCAGGCTGCACCAGCGGAAACTGTCATCCTGTAAACTAAGATATTATTAGAGTATTATTGCCGCTACACACTTTCTCAAGCATTCAGTTCATTCGCTTTCTGAAAGATTCACAAAAAAACTGCAAGAACTCACAAATAAAACTAATACCTATGCCTCGTCATTCATTTTACTCTTTAATGTTTTTAATTATAAATGTAACACAAGCTCATTGTCAAATATTCCATTCACTCTTGGACATTTTCACACCTTCTCTCCAGAAATATCTGATTCTAGGCCAGCGGTTCTCGCTGGCCCCAGGGGACATTTGGCAGTGCCTGGGGACACTTTGGTTGTCATTACTTGGAGGATACTCCTGGCACCGGGTGTGTAGGGGCCAGGGTGCTGCTGACATCCTACAGTGCCTGGGACAGCCCCACAGCCAGGAATGGGTCAGTCCAGCATGACAACAGCACCGAGTTTGAGAAACTCAGTCCCTCTCATCAGCCCTGAACCAGGGTGTGCGAGGCGCTTACACGATGAGGTGCAGACAGTGTATGTGGCCGGCTCTGAAAACTGTTAACCAGCAGCCCTGTAAACTAAGGTAGACAAAGGTGATCGCAGACACAGCTCTGTAGACACATTTCTCACACAGACATACAATGTCACACAGGTAGACGCATTCATGGGGCTGCTGTCCTAACTCACACCCGCCCAGGCAGCCGCAGTCCCAGGGGACACTTGTGTGGAGGCACAGGGCGCAGGCCAGCAGGGTGTCCACTCTGCCCCGAAGGATGCTCCCCAGGCCCCCTTCTGGGATGGAAAGACCCTCTGAGGATGCCTCGGAGTATGTGTGTGTGCTTGTGCTTGTGGATTGTGTACATGTGTGGTGTGGGTGTGTTGTCATGTATGTGTGTCATAGCATATGTGAACATGTATATCTGTCGGTGTGTGTACTTGTGTGTGTGAGCACATGGTGTGTGTGTATGTCATAGTGTGTGTACCTGTATGTACACATGATGGTGTGTGTATGGCGAATGCGTACATGTGTTGCAGTGTGTGTTGTGGTACATACATGCGTGTAAGCATGCTTGTATTGTATGTGGCATAGAGTGTGTGCATCTTGGTGTGTGTGTGCATGTGTACATGTATTTGGGGGAGTGTCTGTGCGTTGCGTGTAGATGTGGTATCATGTCTGCCATGTGTATGTACATGTCTGTATCATGTTTTTAGTGTGAAGTGTGATGTGCATGTATTGTGATGTGTGTATGCATGTTGTGGCATCTGCACATGTGTGCAGGCATGTGTGCGATGTGATGTGTGTGATTTGGTGTGTGCATATGCTGTGATGCATGTTTATGTGTGTTGTGGTACATGTACTTGCGTATGCATGTTTGTGGTGCGTGTGCACAAACCTGTGTGTATACACATTGGTGGTATGTGTATGTTGTGTGTATTATAGTGGGTGCACGTTTGTGGTGTGTGGTATGTATATAAATGTGTTGACCATGTGTGCGGTGCTGTGCATTGACGTGTTTGTGTGTTGTGTGTGCAGTGCACATGCATGTTTGTGCTGTGTGAGATGTTGTGCATGCACACGTGTGGTGATGTGTGTTGTGTGTGCACCTGCATGTGTGCATATTTGTGGTGTGTGGCGTGTGCGCCTGCATACATACCCGAGTGTACATGTGTTAGTGTGTGGCAGTGAGCATGAACATGAGCAGGGCAGTGGCACTGTGACTCTGGTGTGGGCGTGTCCTGGGCCCCTCTGGTGGAGTCTGCTCCTGATTCTGCACCCCTGGACAGGCCTGGTCATGGAAGGAGAACGTTCTGGAGTCGGGGACATCGGGGCGCTACACGGTGGAGACCATCAGCACCGAGGAGGGCGTCATCTCCACCCTGACCATCAGTAACATCGTGCGGGCCGACTTCCAGACCATCTACAACTGCACGGCCTGGAACAGCTTCGGCTCCGACACTGAGATCATCCGGCTCAAGGAGCAAGGTGAGAGCTGCCAGGGCCATGAGGGAACGATGAACGATGGAACCAGAGGGGCCCTCTCCTCGCCTAGGGCAGGGCCCAGGTGGCTGCAAGGTGGGCCAGGGCCCAAGGACAAGCCACAGTGCTCCTCCTGGCCGACCACACAGCCTAGCCAGCCGGAAGCCTCCTCAGCCAGGCTCTCGCTGAAGCAAGGGCCACTAGCCTCCACCAGGAACCAAGGGAAGCACACAGCTCAGAGTGGCAGCCCTTGAGGGCGATACTTCAGTAGGAGGTGGCCACAGCAATGAGCAGGCGGGTGGCAATGACAAACTGCCCAGCAGCCTCCAGAGGCCCTGGCTTCTGTGCCCTGCCCTCCACCGTGGGCCCTGGTCTGACACCAAAGTGCCCTTTGGGAGGTGTCATACCTGGGTGGAGCGTGGGATATACTGGCATGGGTGTGCTGGGAACCTGGCCCAGCCACAGTGAAGATGACAAGCCCATCCAGTTACTCAGACAGAAGTCCCACAGAGGGCACCCACTCCAAAGCTAAGGGGTCGGGCTTGTTTGTCCAGATCCCTAGGGTCGGGGGCTGGGCTCACACCACCTGCAGACCTAGGAGGCACAGGGACCCCTGTGCCCCAAAGGCAGCACTGGGCAAAGCAGCCGGGTGGGTGAGAAGGAGGAGGAAGAAGGTTCACCCCACTAGCCCCCATGCACTGACGTCCCAGCCCCTGGTCAAAGATGCTCAGATCTCCGGGGTCTGCTCAGAGCTCTCAGGCACAGACAGCAGGATGGGGAGCCTTGGAGGGGCCCGGAGGGGTGGCTCCGGAAGCTCCACCACAGCCAGCAGCAAGCTGGGTTCTGAGAGGGGTGGTCAATCTTGCCCTTTTGCCAGCAGCGGCTAAGCCATGGTGGACCAGGGATTCGTGCTCAGCTGGGCCTGGGCCTTTGGATGGGCCTCGGGCGCCCAGGAGGCCTCAGTCCTGGCAGTCTCTGACACCCTCTTAGGTAAAGGCCCATTCGCAGGCTGTCAGGCCCAGCAAGAGATTCTAGGCCAAGTGGGTGGTCTCAGTAGGGTCCCCAGGCCTCAGTGGACCACACCAGGATCACACCTATGGGTCAAATCACACAGTATCTCCCAACACCTCTTCCCTAATAGATGCTGCTTTGCATAATGCTTTGCACATAATTTGCATAATATCATCCACACATCATCCCAAACCTTCCTGGTCCCCTGTTGCCTACCCTCCATGTCTTCTCCTTGGTGCCCCCACCCCCATGCCCTCCCCCAAGTGTTCTCACCCCAACCTTCCCAGACCCCTCCGAGACATGATTTCTCTCTCTGGTCCCTCGCCCCTCCAGTCTCTAAGTCAGTCTGAATGAACTCCAAGTTCAACTGGGCTAGTCTGGATCTGCTGGGGGTCCCAGAGACATGACTGGGAAAGGAACCCCTCACCCAGTCCCCCTCAAGCAGCTAATCCCCAGTCCCACCCCACCCTGGCCAGCCAGGCCCTGGCTGTAGACGCTTGCTTTATTTCCAAACAGGTTCAGAAATGAAGTCGGGAGCCGGGCTGGAAGCAGGTACGGAAGGAGATGATGAGAATGGCCCTGGGCAGGGGGTGGGGGAAGGGACTTCTTGGCTAGCTGGGGAGGGAACCCAGCAGGGGGTAGGGAGGCCTGTGCTGGCCAATAATGTCTCTGCCCTCCCCCGTCCTGAGGGTTTAGTGTAGTCAGAGCAGCGGGGCGGGGGGTCCCAGCCATCTTGGGCCTAGGGACCCCAGAGACCTGTCTCCTGCCTGCCGCTGGAACCCACAACTCCTTCCGCTCTGGGACACTGACTCTCACTCTTCCCTGCTCCATTCCTTCCATCCTTTCTCCTTGGGAGCCCTGACTCCTGGCCTCTGGGGTCAGCTGGCCTCTGGGGTCAGCTGGTCCCTGTCCTGACTGCCTTCTGCTTCCAGGCTCTCTCCGACCCTTCCTACTTCTCCACATCATCACCAGCTTGGCCACTGCTTCCCAGGACACCGGGGTCCCCAGCCCCTGCTGTGGCTTGTGCATCCATGCTTGCTGTTTGCCACCCCTCCCTACTCCTGCAGTCCCCGTGGAAGTGTCATCTCACCCCAGGCTGAGGCTGCAGGGCAGCGCCTCCCTCCCCAGGCACACACAGCAAAGCAGTCATCATGGCCCCTGGGTGGAGTTGCTCTCAACCCCACCCCCAAGCAGAAAAACAGAAAAGAGAATCAGGACCAGCAAGCCAGGCTCTATGGCCATGCTGAAGACTTGAGTGGTCCTCCACCCTAGGCCTCCTGCCACACTGGCCCTGGCCCGTGTTACCTCCTCAAGCTCTACGTGGGATCCTCGTGCCCCTACCTCTGCCCCTCCTGGCAGACATGCCCCTATCAGAGCACCAACCCAGGGCACAGGTTGCTCACAGAGGCCCCTGCAGCCCACGCTGGGGCAACCCAGAAAGCTGCCAGCCTCCCGCTGCATTCTCCCCAGGTCCGTGCTAATGCTGAGGGTGGTGTCTCCTGTCTCCGTGTCTCCTGTGTCTGCTGACACTCATCCAGAGCTCCCTAACACCCTCTCCCCTCGGTGGCTGACTCCTGGTGCCCGGCAACCTCCTTGGATGGAGGGGAGGCTGAGCGGGGACAGCCCCTCCCTCCAGTCCCTCTCCAGGGGCCATGCAGGGAAGGCTCTGTGCAGAGAGGAGGGGCCTGCACATCACCCTAGGCCAAACCTGAGGGAGCCAGGCAAGGAAGGAACACACACAGGCAGGCTGGGGACTGGAAAGGGATGCCACCCCGGGGCGCTCACCCCCACAGGACCCCCTGCTCTCCCCCTGCCCACCTGCCCAGGGACCATTGTCCCGCTAAGAGGGCGCCCCGCCCCCAGCCGTCAGCAGCATGTGGAAACACGGGCTGGGGATCCCAGGATCGGAAGGCACCTTCAATGCCGCTGCCCAGCTCTCCACGCTGCAGACAAGGCACTGAGGCCCAGAGGTGTTAAGAAGCCTTCCATGGGCATACTTTGGCTCTGAGTTCTGCTGAGACAAGCCCTGTGTTTTTCCAAGGAAACTTACCAGGAATCTGAGGAGAAACCAACCCAAATCCATCCAATTCCAAAGCAGAGAGTCCATGAGCTGCCAAAGCCGTTTCCCTTTCCTCATGGAACTGAAACCCAGAGACACTGTCATCTATTGGGCAAGGCAAGCTCAGCTGAGTCCCAGCCCCTTTTCTCAGTCTGACTCTTGAACCAACTTGGGCACCTCGCGTTTCAACCCCCAAGTGTCCACCTCTTCCTCTTGGTCCCCTCCCCGTCACCCCCGCAGTTGTCCTGGCCACTAATCGGTAGGTAACGAATGGCTTCGTGTGCAAGTCCTGGGGTGGCAAAGGGATGCGCCAGCTTAACTAACAACACTGCCAGCCAGGGGCGCCAGCTTCCTCTGGCCGGAGGGCAAATGGCTGCCCCCCTACCGCCACCCTTCGATGCCTCCTCCCACCAGCATCTTCAGAGGCCAGGGTTTGAGGTCTTTCTCCTCTCTTTAAAGAAAAAGACAACAAAAGGCTTGTTGGGTTGTAACCCAGAATGGATACCTAGTTGTCCCCAGTCGCCCACACTGACGAACGCAGGGTAGGCTGGGGAGGGGCTCAGTCTTTAAAAGGAGCTTTCCTGGCCTTTAAGACTGTGAACTGCTGATCAGGCGCAGTGGCTCACGCCTGTAATCTCAGCACTTTTGGAGGTTGAGGCGGGCGGATCACCTGAGGTCAGGAGTTTGAGACCAGCCTGGCCAATATGGTGAAACCCCATCTCTACTAAAAATACAAAAATTAGCCAGGCATGGTGGTGGGCGCCTGTCATCCCAGCTATTCAAGAGGCTGAGTCAGGAGAATCACTTGAACCAGAAAGCAAGAGGTTGCAGTGAGCTGAGATCATGCCACTGCACTCCAGCCTGGGCGTCACAGCCAGACTTTGTCCCAAAAATAAAGGACTGTGAACTGCTGGTGACCCCTTCCCAGGTAACAACAACAGCAAACACCAAACAGGGCTGGGTGCCAGACTCTGCTCCAAGGCCTCTGCCCACACTCACCCAGCTCAAGCCCATAACAACTCTCAGAGGGGCGGTAGCATTATCCCCACTCTACAGATATAAGAAAGGCAAAGTCCGTTGCTCAGAAGAAGGGATGGAGCCAGGACTCGGAACAGCGGCAGCCTGGGCGGTACCAAGCATATGAGATGTAGAGGATCTCACATGTCACTCTGTGGGTGGAGCTGGACAGGGTGGGAGTGGGGTGAGTGGAGGGGCGAGGGCAGTGACAGGAGACCTAGATTGACCCTGGCTATGCAGCTCCTGTGTGTCCTTGGCCAAATCACTTGACTTCTCTGGACCTCAGTGAGAGCCCCAAGCTCTCCCTGCCCCAGCATTCTCTAGTTCTATTCCTGATGGACTCCTCATGGCCCCAGATCGTGTGCTCAGGCCCCACTTGCAGCCGTAGAAGGGCCAGAGCTGTCTGGAAGATCACCCCCAACTCCATCCTTACCCTCCCTATCCCTACCCCCACTCGGCTTGGGCAGGAGACAGGCGGCAGAGACTCAGCAGGGGTGAGGCCTTGCCTGCCTCTCTTGCCGGGAGGGGTGCAAGGATGCTCAGAGGGGAGGCCTCCAGGGAGAAGCTGCAGACCTGGAGATGGAGCGAAAGGGGCCTCTCTCCTTAAAGAGGTTGCAGTGGAGAAGCTGTAACCCTGCTCCCTGGCCCCTGAGACTTGGACACCTGAGGGCCACAACTGATGCCCAGCAGAACTGCGGGGAAGCTGCTTAGACCTGGAAATGCTAAGAGCCAATGTCCTCTGTATTCACCCGAGAAAGGGAAGGGAAGGAGAGAACGTACTGAACAAACAAGGGCAGCGACCATAGTCGTTTTTCAAAAAAAAGCCAGGGCCTATGACTCACTGGCCAAAGTGTGATAGAGCATTCCTGTTTAATGCCAGAGAGAGCTCCATCGTGCCAGCCTCACCCTTCATCTCCGGTCCTCCTGTCCCCTGGCCCTCCCTTCTCCGTGTCTGCCTGCCTCGCTCTCCTTCCTCTGCCCTTTGCCCCAGTTCCCCCGCCCTCTCCTCCACCCACCAAGCCCCCGTGTCCTCCACCCTGGTCTTTGCAGTCCCAGCTAGAGCTGACCCCGGTTGGACTCGGCCTGTGCCTGCCCAGGCCCAACTGAGGCATTTCCCAGGGGGGCCCCATGTGGCAGGGGCTGCACCCACAGGAACGGGGTGAGATCTTGGGGGGATAGTAGGCCATTCCCCATCCCTCGTCAGCTGTGCCCGCTTCTCTCCCACAGAGTCTGTGCCGATGGCCGTCATCATTGGGGTGGCCGTAGGAGCTGGTGTGGCCTTCCTCGTCCTTATGGCAACCATCGTGGCCTTCTGCTGTGCCCGTTCCCAGAGAAGTACGGGAGGGAGATCCGGGATCTCAGGGAGGGGGACAGAGAAAAAGGCCAGGCTTAGGCTGCCCCGGAGAGCAAGTAAGCAGGAGTGCAATGAACAGGGGTCCTAACAGTGCTGTGAGCTCCTGGGCAGGGAGTGGGTCTGATGTATCGGTGTATATGAGCCTGGGCAACATGGCGTCTGGCAGAGTGGGCAGTAGGCTGAGGTTGACTTGGACTAGACTGAGCTTCATCTGCAGGGCAGCCAGCATTTTGGATTGAACACATAGCTCTTTCGATCAGCAACTGTACAGAAAGATAGGGGGAAAAGTGGTTTGTGGTTTGATCCTTGCTCTACAAGAGCTGTTAGTCTAGGAAGACCCCATCTATACAACAAAATAAAAATAAACTAAAGAGCTGCTAGTCTCACCAGAAAAATCGGGTCACTCATATGGCTGTGGGGGAGTGGGTGGGGAAGCAATAAAGGAATTGCTTTGAGCAAACTTTTAAAGGTCTTCAGTGATTACCAATAAAATTCTAGTGTTTGTGCATGCTTGAAGAATTGCATGCACCCAGGAGATACGCGTGAGAGATTGGATGGCAGAGAACAGGTGAACACAATGGAGACACAGTGTTCCAGTCCCACCTTTTCTGCCACATGACTCTGGGCCAGCCACAGCGATTCCAGGCCTTGGCTGAATCATTTATAATGAGGATATGACCCTGATGACCCCATCTGGCACTAATGTTGTATGAGTGTAATGCACAAAATCAATCACCGGAATGGTCTCCTCCTCCACTCAGTAGCCTGCACATGTCTGAAGAAAGCTGTTCCCCTTGTGTTTTCTGCACGCCGAGCTAAGCAGCCTTGGCTGTCATGACCACCCCAGCAATAATGTGGTCTCAGGACCTCCATCACCACCGTCTCAGTGGAAATTATAGGGCAGCATATAAATATATACACATACACATATATATACACACATATATATGCATATATATATATATGATTTTTTTTATAGAGAGTCTCTCTCTTTTGGCCATGCTGGAGTGCAGTGACATGATCTCAGCTCACTGCAACCTCCGCCTCCCAGGTTCAAGCGATTCTCGTGCCTCAGCCTCCTGAGTCACTGGGATTACAGGCGTGTGCCACCATGCCTGGCTATTTTTTAAATTTTTTGCAGAGACAGGGTTTCACCATGTTGCCCAGGCTGGTCTCAAACTCCTGGCCTCAAGTGGTCTGCCTGCCTCAGCCTCCCAAAGTGCTGGGATTACAGGCATGAGCCACAGCACCAGCTCCTCAAGAATTTCCTTTTTTTTTTTTTTTTTCTCTTTTGAGATGGAGTCTTGCCCTGTTGCCCAGGCTGGAGCGCAGTGGCACAATCTCAGCTTACTGCAACCCCCGCCTCCCGGGCTCATTCAAGTGATTCTCGTGCTCAGCCTCCCCAGTAGCTGGCATTACAGGCACCCACCACCACGCCCAGCTCATTTTTGGATTTTTAATAGAGACAGGGTTTCACCATGTTGGTCAGGCTGGTGTCAAACTCCTGACCTCGTGATCTGCCCACCTTGGCCTCCCAAAGTGCTGGGATTACAGGCGTGAGCCACCGCGTCCAGCCAAGAATGTTCTAACAGAGTTCTCCAACTAGAAACAGGCTGCCTCCTGCAGAAGTGGCAGTAAAGCTTCCATCATGGAGGCGTCCACAGAGAAGCTGCCCAGCGCCTCAGGGGTGTTTCTCTTTAGATGGGGGTTGGCCATGGGCAATTTAAGGTCCTTTCCAACACTGAGATTTGTGGTTCTATGAATGGAGGGATCAGAGTCTGCCTGGTAGAGTAAGTCAGAGAAGACTTCTAGAAAGAAGTGAGAATTCAGTAGGATGGAAAGGACCTAGCTCAGTAAGTTGGACAAGTGGCTGAAGACAATCTTTCAAGCCAAGGGTGCATGGCTGAGGGGCATGTGACAGGAGCCAGGCCGCCCATGGGGTCAGCCTCCTCTGGGGCCCAAATGCCCACAGCATCTCCATGTGGAGGTTCTGTTGGTGGCGGGTCAGTGAAGCTGCTGAGTTCAGGGGCTGAAGGGGAAATGCAGAGGGTGGCAGAGCGGAGGCAGGGGACTGCAAGGGAGCTTGACATCTCAAAAGTAAGAACCAAATCTATCATCTACACTTTACTATTTTATCTCCAGATCTCAAAGGTGTTGTGTCAGCCAAAAATGATATCCGAGTGGAAATTGTCCACAAGGAACCGGCCTCTGGTCGGGAGGCTGAGGAGCACTCCACCATCAAGCAGCTAATGGTAAGAATGCGATTACACCCCATCCCATCCCGTGACCCCATTCCCAGAAGGTCCTGGGACTAGAGGCTTCTCAATGACCTAGATGCTTCCAAAAAGCGAAGCAGCGGTCAAGATGCCCCCCGCCCACCCCACAATAGGTGAGGCACACACTGTCAGCCAACAAATGTGATTGTGTGCCTGCTATACTGTGCTTGTGTTCTGGGAGACTCAAAGGCATCTAAGATGCAGTGCAGGCCAGGTGCAGTGGCTCACGCCTGTAATCCCAACACTTTGGGAGACCGAGTTGGGAGGATCATTTGAGGTTAGGAGTTCAAGACCAGCCTGGCCAACATTGTGAAACTGCATCTCTACTAAAAATACAAAAATTAACTGGGCGTGGTGGCAGGCGCCTGTAATCCCAGCTACTAGGGAAACTGAGGCAGGAGAATTGCTTGAACCCGGGAGGTGGAGGCTGCAGTGAGTTGAACTCAGGCCATTGCACCCCAGCCTGGGTGAGAGCAAGACTCCATCTCAAAACAATAACAACGAAAAAGTTGCAGTCCAGCCTTCAGAGAGCCTGGCTCTTCCGTAAGGAGAAAAGACATATGCATAAATTGCCACAATATGTTGTTATATAACATATAATCCCCCCCCAATCCACTGCACACACACACATAGCTATTATAGATATTCAATACAAGTCCTCTCCCTCATCCGCCACACCCCACCAAAACGAAGTCTGCACGAAACACAGGTTCCTCCTTGGGGACTGGATTGCAAGTGAACTCATCACTTCTCCAGTCACATTAAGCCTGCTCCTCCTCTTCCGAATCCCCATTTATGGGCCATCATCTACCCAGTTGTCCAAGCAGAAACCTAGACAACCATGCTAGAAGTTTCTAGTTGCCTTGGTTGTAACATGTTGGAGTGGAGGCGGCGAAGCAAGGGATAAAGTAGATGGGCTTTTTGGTGCCTCAGTGTCCTCATCCATGAAATGGGTCTGAAAGCCACAGTATACAGGGCTGTGGTGAGGGTGAAGTGGGCAAAACTCAGAAGGGCTTGAAGCCCATGGAACACAATAAGTGCTCAACAAATATTAGCTATTTATGTTGCTAGAGGGTGAGCAGCTGCTGCTGTGTTCATCCCGGGGTCTTCGGAGCCTTACACAGACGCTGGTAGAGGCTCACAGACGTTTACTGAGTCAAACTGACTGTTCCCTTGGCTACACTTTCTCTCTCCAATTGATTTTCAGGTCCTGTCAATTCCACTTCAAAAAGTGTCTCAAATGTGTGCCCCACCTGTCCTCCACCATCACTTCTTGACTTCCGGCCTCATCCGTCCTCCCCTGGATGATTACAGCAGCCTCCCAGTTGGTCTCAGGCTTCTAGTCTTTTGTCTCTTTTCTCAATCCACCCTCGAGAGCCTTGAGAAAGGAATCTTTCTAAAATGCAAATCTGGTCCTGTTACTTGCCCACTTAAAATTCCTCGGTGGCTCCCCACATCTGCTGGACAAAGTCCAACTTCCTGGTGTGTCATCAGGGCTCCTCAGTGCCAGGCAGCCACCAACCTCTCCAGCTCCATTTTCCGGCCAAGTGCATCTGGCCTTCCAGACATGCCAAAGAGCTTGATTCCTGGCCTTCGAGTCTTTTAGACTTCAAAGGCCTGTGCACCGGCTGTTCCCTCTGCCTGCTAATTTTGTCTGTTGAATTTCACATTCTCCTATAACAATCAACTCCAGGATGTTCTGGGCTTGTCCTCCCCGCCCCTGGCAGAGCTGTGCACCTTCTGCTCTCCCAAAACACTTTGTATGTGCCTCCTTTATAGTGCATTCCCCCAGTTCCATGTTAGCTTCCCCAGTTATCCCAGAGTTCCTCGAGGGCAAAGGTCATGTTTGAGTCTACGCTCATCTGTTTCCCCTGGGGCCTAACACAGGGCCTGACACAGTGGAGTGTTTAATTTTACGAGGGAGGAAACCACAGCCTAGACCTCAGAAGGGATGATGTCTCTATACTTAAGTTTAATCAGGTGTGTCCTTCATCCCAAATGGGACCTTGAATTCTCTCCCACTGGGACATTCTGTTTGCCTCAGACTGTCTCCACATCCCTTAGTCCAAACCCACAGGCAAGAGTGGGGGCCGCTCAGCGTCAGGTGGGAGCAGAAGGGACTTGCTGTGGGCTCTGGGCTAAGCCACCCCTTGAGGAGATCGTCATTCTCCCATTCCTTTCACCTCCTGGCCCCAAGACAAACCCATCTGCAAGGAGAGGCAGACTTAGCAATTGAATCTGATGGGAAAGAAGGTCTCCAACCCGGACAGTGCCAGAGCATTTACTGGAAAAATGAACCACGTGGTCTCTTTAGTGAGGAGGCAGCAGGGTGGCAGCACCTTGGCTCATTCCACGGGGCTCCAAAAAGAAACGAGGAAAGCAAGTTGCAAGACAGAAGAAACATCCCGGCCCAGAGAGTAGGAGGGAACCTACTACCTATACCGTGCAACTAGCAAAGAGACACATGGCAAGCCTCTCGTGTGTCACAGGTTAAGCATCACTGTGGTTATTCAGATTAATTCATACGCCCACTGTGTGTGGAGTATGCTTTTTCATCTTACGTCTAATAATTATGTTAATTTTTAGTAATTTAGAGCTAAGCCACTTTGCCTATTCCTTCAACATATACATACCATTTGAAGCAGCTCTATTGTGTATCAGGCACTGTGCTAGGCATTGGCAAATCAAATAATTAAGAGATTCCATCCCAAAAGCATGCAAGGTCAGTGACCACAACATGCAAAGCACTGAACCAGGTGTGGGGGTACCCAGAGACAAGCAGGAAGTGATCCTTGCCCTCAGGCTGCTTGGCATCTCTAAGGAAGATAACTTTTCATTAGAATAACAGGTGTGGCCCATGTCGCCAGCATCTCACAGATGGTTATTCCTTGTGACTCCTTAAGGCCTGCACTAGGCCTGCACGCTGGATAAGAAACTGCCCTAAGGAGCCTGGCCGTGCCCAGTGGTTGACATTCTGAAATTATTTATCTACAAGTCCATCTCCCTGATGAGCAGAGCTGTATCTTAATGTACGTTAATCTGTGAATCCCTGATCCTTAGCAGAGCACCTCGCCGGCATTTTACAACAAACGTTCAGTGAATGGAATTGAATCAGGCATGTGAGATCTCTGGTGATGCCCTCGCCCAAGCGAGGAAAGTGTGGCCTCAGATACCTGCCCCTTGCCTCCCCTAACTGCCCTCACCTCACTGACCTACCCATCCCCCTCAACTGCTTCCCTGTCTCCTAGGATGGGGGTCCAGGAACTCATCCTGAGTCTTCCACATGGTCCAGGCAGTGAGGGGTTGTGGGGCTTATATAGGGCAATCATTTGAGTTTCTGATCTCATCTTTTCCCTGGGGGAAGTGGAGGTGTAGCCACCTCCGATCCACTGAGCAGCCTTTTTTGGGTTGCAGATGGACCGGGGTGAATTCCAGCAAGACTCAGTCCTGAAACAGCTGGAGGTGCTCAAAGAAGAGGAGAAAGAGTTTCAGAACCTGAAGGTAAGAAGGGCCCCAGCTTATAAGACACAGCCGTGGAATCCGGTCTTAAGCTCTGATGGCCCAAACCCCAAATCTATACAACAAATGACAGCAAGTCGAGAAGAGAAGGCCAGAGGCCAGCTTGGTGGCAGGTACCCGTGCCTGCCTAAGGCACCTGCTCTCCCCACCCCAATGCTGAGGAGGCTGAGAGAGCTAATGCTGAGACTCCCCAGTTCTCTTCCACAGCCTCCTCACATGTAGATTCAAAATGAAGCATCCATGTTCTGGATAAAAACAATTAAAAAGTCTGACTTTCGGGCCGGGCGCGGTGGCTCAAGCCTGTAATCCCAGCACTTTGGGAGGCCGAGACGGGCGGATCACGAGGTCAGGAGATCGAGACCATCCTGGCTAACACGGTGAAACCCCGTCTCTACTAAAAATAAAAAAAACTAGCCGGGCGTGGTGGCGGGCGCCTGTAGTCCCAGCTACTCGGGAGGCTGAGGCAGGAGAATGGCGGGAACCCGGGAGGCGGAGCTTGCAGTGAGCGGAGATCCGGCCACTGCACTCCAGCCTGGGCGACAGAGCGAGACTCCGTCTCAAAAAAAAAAAAAAAAAAAAAAAAAAAAAGTCTGACTTTCAAATGACCTTGCATCACCCTGACATAAACCCAGTCAAGAGCCTCTGCTTCCCTCCTTTGGCCCTCAGCCCTCACCCCTGCCGGCCCTCCCCTCCTGGGGTCCGCAGTTCCCCTTCTGCCATCTCCTGTTCAGTGTCCTTCTGCCCCTGCACCCTCCCCGCAGCTGTTCACCCCCGAGTTTGCTCCCTACCAGGTCACTCCCTTCCTCCTGTTTTCCCTCTTCCCTCCCCGCATAAGAGGACGGGCTCAGCCTGGAAACCCCAGTCACCTTCAGTGGAGGCTCCACCAGGTGATGCTCCTCTTTCTCTCGCCCACCCAGGACCCCACCAATGGCTACTACAGCGTCAACACTTTCAAAGAGCACCACTCAACCCCAACCATCTCCCTCTCCAGCTGCCAGCCCGACCTGCGTCCTGCGGGCAAGCAGCGTGTGCCCACAGGCATGTCCTTCACCAACATCTACAGCACCCTGAGCGGCCAGGGCCGCCTCTACGACTACGGGCAGCGGTTCGTGCTGGGGATGGGCAGCTCGTCCATCGAGCTTTGTGAGCGGGAGTTCCAGAGAGGCTCCCTCAGCGACAGCAGCTCCTTCCTGGACACGCAGTGTGACAGCAGCGTCAGCAGCAGCGGCAAGCAGGACGGCTACGTGCAGTTCGACAAGGCCAGCAAGGCTTCTGCCTCCTCCTCCCACCACTCCCAGTCCTCGTCCCAGAACTCTGACCCCAGTCGACCCCTGCAGCGGCGGATGCAGACTCACGTCTAAGGATCACACACCGCGGGTGGGATGGGCCAGGGAAGAGGGCAGGGCAGGTTCCGGTTGTCCAGGGACGAGGGGTACTTTGCAGAGGACCCCAGAACTGGCCACCTCCAGGACAGCCTCCCAGCGCCTCTGCCACCGCCTTCCTTCGAAGCTCTGATCAAGCACAAATCTGGGTCCCCAGGTGCGGTGTGCCAGAGGTGGGCGGGTGGGGAGACAGACAGAGGCCGCGGCCAAGTGCGCTGTGCTCAGTGCTGGACACCATGTCCCCGGCCCTTTCCTGGAGGCCCCTCTACCACCTGCTCTGCCCACAGGCACAAGTGGCAGCTAGAACTTTGCTTTCACGAAACTGCGGTCCACTCTCTGGACTCTCCGTGGGCTCTACCCCTCGCTGACCACAAGCCCTCCCTGCCCCTGTGCCTGTGCTCCCATACAGCCCTGGGGAGAAGGGGATGAGGTCTTCCCAGCACTGAGCCGCCCCAGAAACCCCGGCTCCCCACGGCTGCTCATAGCCCATACCCTGGAGGCTGAGAAGCCAGAAATGGCCTTGGCTAAAGGAGCCTCCCTCTCACCAGGATGGCCGGGAGCCCACCCCCAATTTGTTTGGTGTTTCGTGTCCATACTCTTGCAGTTCTGTCCTTGGACTTGATGCCTCTGAACTCTGCGGTGGGACCGGCCCCACCAGAGCCTGGTGCACTGGGGGGAGGGAGGGAGGAGGGAGCCTGTGCTTACCGAGCACCTGGCCCGGCGTGCCCCTCCTGGGCTGTGTGACCCCAGCCTCCCCACCCACCTCCTGCTTTGTGTACTCCTCCCCTCCCCCTCAGCACAATCGGAGTTAATATGAGAAGTGCGGGAGCTTCTCTGGTCAGGGTTCTCTGAACAGTTGTGGAGACAGTGCTTCCTGCGAGGTGTGGCATTTGAAGGGGCTGGAGGGCAGGTCTTTAAGATGGCGAGACTGCCCTTCTCAGCTGATAAACACAAGAACGACGATCCTGTCTTCAGTAAGGCTCCACGAGAAGAGAGGAAGTATATCTACACCTCACCCCTCCCAGTCACCACCTGAGAATAAATGTTAGGGACAGTACTCCAACATGTTTGTTCTGTTCTTTTGTTCCTACAAAGCACCACAGGAAGAACCCAAGAGCTCACAGAATGCGTTGGGGACCGAAGGTTCTCTGCCCTCCTTTGATTCAATCTTCCTAGACATTGAAGGCAGTTGACAGCTCTGGTTGTGGTGGCAATAAAATCTACAGGCTGACTCCTCTCCTTTGCGGGTAGACCCAAACCAGAGGACGCGTGGGACTCACCAACCACCTGACTCAGTCAAATATAGCTCAGAGGCAGAGTGGTCACACTAGACACTGGCCAGGCCATTCCGGACCTTTCCTCTCAGCAATATTCAGCAGGGAAAATTTCCTCCTCTAAAGGTTCAGAGAACAAGACCCGCTAGAAAGAGTCTAGACCACCAGGCACCCTAACACTTTAATATACAACTCAAATAATGTTTTAAGAAGAGCCTTGATGTGGTCATGGCAGATGGGATGGATAAACGGGGGCAAGTTCGAGTGCTCGTTGAGGGACTGGGATCCAAATGGAACTTTAAAGAACCCAAATTGTCCCTAAGGTGGGTTGGAGGTTCCTCGTCAGTTTTAAACCTTTCTTCTCCAACCTTCCCTGGTAGTCCTTACCCATCATGGGAACCTTCACCACACCAGCTTGTGCTGCTTTCCAGACACTGATTCCTTGGATGGTCCCAATCCACAGATTCTATACACAGAATACATAGCTCCTCCACTCAGAGGAATTTTCTGTTTCAATCATATTTCCAAGTGCTTCAAAATGTCCCAGAAACCTGGCTAGCTTCCTTTGCAGCCCCCAAGCCTGAGGGAGTAAAAACTGATCAGAAATGTTAAGTGCACGTCCACAGCCCACATTCTGCTGCTGGTACCATGCTGGCCTAGCATAGACATCAGGATGCTGGCCCCTGCCCCCTCTAGGTTAATCTCAGCAAGCGTTCTTTCTTTCTTTCCATATATGTTTTCCCTTGGCTAACACAGAACAAAGATCCAAGACCATATGCACAATGCCTTGGTGTGCTGGAATAAGGAAAAGATGACTTTAGAGGATCTGTCCATTTACTTCTCTTATTTCTCCTGGTCTTCCCACCTTGGATATGGGTAGATCATCTACCTCCTAGTCCTCAACACAGCTGACCCTGCCCCTTGCTCCTGCTATACACACAAGCACACAGAGAAGGAGAGAGAGAGAGACAGAGAGAGAGAGCGAGAGCGCACTAATAGGGTGGAGGTGCCCATCCTTCCATTCTTTCCTGGGAGCCAAAGTTATAAACCAGCAGAATGGGGAAGAAATGTGTTCTATAAAATGAACCCTTCTTCCTGTCCCTCAGCACACCCAGGGTAAGAATGTGGACTGAGCAGAGCGCCCCAGGGCAAGTGCAAACACTAGGCTGCCGGATGCCCAACCCTCTGAGCGCTCTCCAAGGCCCAATGCAGCGAAGAATAGCCCAAGGGATAGGAGGTCGCAAGGATGATCTTTGTGAGAGACAAGAGCAGAGAGGGAAAAAATGAGGGGGATGTGGAGGACTCTGGGGCACTGAGAAGCCCGGATTGAGCTGGGTGCATCCCTCAGCTGTCTCCAGCACTATCTACTTCTCACAAAGGAGTGGGGGTGCAGAAAAGCTGGTGAAGGGAGGTGCCAAGAAACAAAGGCAGTGGGAATCCCCGAATTCCCCTGTAGGTGATTTCACATTAAATAAAACGAGTGCTCTACATTTGTAATCTTATTTAATCCTCACAACTCTACAAAGTATCACCGTTTTACAAATGTGGGTTGAGGCTTAAAGAAGTCAAAAAACTTGCCCAGGGTCAAGCGCTAACGAGTGACAAACATGAGATTTAAACACACATGATTTCCGCCACGAGATGTTTCCGCCGTACAGTGAAAACTCCAGGCCACACTCATCGTAGAATGTGGCTGGAAGTGGCTGATGGTAAAGGCCATGCGCTCTGGGGCAGGCCAGGCAAGAACAAGCATAGCTCCATGAGGAAGGCAAGACTGGCTTCCTCCACCCTAAGTCCTCAAATGACCTGAAAGACCACAAGGCTCTGGGAAACAAAGCTATTCTGTGTATCAAATCACCCCCACCTCTACCAAAGCCAGCATCCAGTCTTCCAATAGCTTTAAACTTCATTACTGGCTCAGAGTCACTGGATGGGAGCCCAGTCTCTAATTCTCAGGTTCAAGATCAGTCTGCCAAGGCCAGGGTTATTTCCACCACCTCTTCTACTTTCATGGAATAGGAAGTACTTTCACAGTAAGAGCAAAAATGTCACATCAAATCCGTTTCTGACGAAGCCTTTTTGAGCAAATTATATAAAGCAAGAGGCCATGAAGCCGATTTTAAGTTTCCAGAATGGAAAGGAGCCAGGGAAATGAAAATAAACATGGTGTAGTCCTTGGGAGATTTCTTAGAACAGGACAAAGGAGCCGACCAAAATTCTACTTCTCATTTCCTAGTTGGAGAGGAGTCCATGCTGCTTGGGGCATTTGCTATTATGGAATCAGAACCAAAGGCACAAGGTACACACACGCGTGCGCGCACACACACACACATTTGATTAGTTCTTCCAGGTATTATGTGTGTGGTTTGTCCTGGCACCAGAAAAAAAAAAGATAAAAGGGAGTCTTGAGATTAGTTTATTCTCTGGGATCTTTCCCTATAAAACACACTTGTTACTGAAATAAAAATATAAAATTTAAATAAAGACTATCTTAATTTGCAATTTTTTTTTTTTTTTTTTTTTTTTTTTTTTTTTTTGAGATGGAGTCTCACTCTGTCGCCCGGGCTGGAGTGCAGTGGCCGGATCTCAGCTCACTGCAAGCTCCGCCTCCCGGGTTTACGCCATTCTCCTGCCTCAGCCTCCTGTGTAGCTGGGACTACAGGCGCCTGCCACCACGCCCGGCTAGTTTTTTGTATTTTTTAGTAGTTTCACCGTGTTAGCCAGGATGGTCTTGATCTCCTGACCTCGTCATCCGCCTGTCTCGGCCTCCCAAAGTGCTGGGATTACAGGCTTGAGCCACCGCGCCCAGCGGCAAATATTTTTTATTTTAAATGCTCCTTGGTGTGCATATCTAAAGAAACAAACATTTAGATGTAGACCAATGACAACTAAATCTTGAATTTCACTTCCCCTTTCAAAACCTCTTTTGAAAGCCTCTTATCTAAGTTGTTCTTAGGAACTGTAACCACATACCAGCGATTTGCAGCTTTCAAATCAAAATGAGCAGCAGTCTCTGGGAGTCATTGATAAAGAATTCTTCGTTCACTGATAGCCGCCTGTCATTTCCAGTGAGCCTCCAACCATCTTTTCCCCAACTCCTTATGTTTCAGTGCTCCTAACCAGGTCATAAACAGAGAAAAATTTAAAAAATTTTAAACACTCCTCTTCTTTCTAGAAATAAGGAATTGTTTTCCTGGCCAAGTCCATGTTTGCTGCAAAACCATTAATTATTTCCCTCTCTAACTGCCATTCTTCCTTGGCCCTCCTCCCATCCTCGCTAACAGCAAGTTCTTTGACATACACTGAAAGCTTTCATTACTACAAGCCCTATAGTTCTCCTACTCCCACAGCCTCCATCTTTAAAAGGCCTTCTGTGAATATACACCATTCACAAGATACATCACCAAATTGTCATCTACCTCCCTGGTTATATTTATGTCTCTGCCAATATCTGCCTGCCACTCTATGTTCCCAGTGCTTTTCTCGGAAACAGTCCACTCAGCCCACCCACGGGGCTGAGACATTCTCAATCCCTGAGTAGAGAGCTTCCTTGAGTTCCCCGATTGGAGAGTACCAGACAAGAAATAGCATTTCCTTCCGCTGTTCCTTAACCTTACGGCCCTTGGCAATATCTTGGAATGCTGAAAACATTCAAAAAATGGTTCTTTCTAACTGTCTTCTTTATGGTGCTCTATTAGTGCTCAAAAAGAAGGTTAGTGAGGTCTCAGGAAGTCCAGATGTTCCTGGAAAGAACTGGAGTTTAATTAAATGGAGCTTATCTGAAATCTATTCCCAATTATGCAAGAGAAAAAGTACTATTCCGGATAAAAGCTGAATATAGGAAGGGATTCATCCCTCTGAAGATCACTTTTTTCTTTTTTTTTTTTTGAGACGGAGTCTCGCCCTATTGCCCAGGCTGAAGTGCAGTGGTGTGATCTTATCTCACTGCAAGCTCCACCCCCACGTTCAAATGATTCTCCTGCCTTAGCCTCTCAAGTAGCTGGGATTACAGGTGCCCACCACCATGGCCAGTTAATTTTTTTTGTATTTTTAGTAGAGATGGGGGTTTCACCATGTTGGCCAGGCTGGTCTCATACTCCTGACCTCAGGTGATCCACCCGCCTCGGCCTCCCAAAGTGCTGTGATTACAGGCATGAGCTACCATGCCCAGTCTGAAGATGAGACTTTCAATGAGACAAAGTCCAGGTGGACTAAAAGTTACCACCTTCACTACCTTTGGAAAGAAATTAAAGGGCTAGGCTCTGCTGCCCTTTAATTGAGACATTAATGTGTGACGTCCATCCGTCTGAAGAGACTACCAAACAGGCTTTGTGTAAGCAACAAGGCTGTTTATTTCATGTGGGTACAGTCGGGCTGAGTCTGAAAAGAGAGTCAGCAAAGGGGGATGGGATTATCATTAGTTCTTATAGGTTTGGGATAGGCGTACAAATTACCTTCTTAAGGGCGGAGGAGAATATACTGTTATCAGTTAGGGTGGGGCAGGAACAAATTACAGTGGTGAAAAGTCATCAGTTAAGGCTATTTTCAGTTCTTTTGTGGATCTTCAGTTGCTTCAGGCCATCTGGATGTATACGTGCAGGTCACAGGGGATATGATGGCTTAGCTTGGGCTCAGAGGTCTGACATAATGGGCATTGCACTTCAGAGAATAAAAGAAGAAGGCAAGTAGAGATAAAGTGATATAGATAAGGATTTAAGCAGAATTTTCAGATAAGGGATTCCTATTTGACTTTTAATATAAATGAAAAATTTCTCGGCCGGGTGTGGTG